ATTGGGGAGGTGACATCAATCAGGCTAAAAGCAGGGGAACTGACATTATCTAGCCACGTACACACATGCACTTACAACAAAGTTGGTTTTATATATATTCAAGAACAAAGATCTTTGTGTAATCGTTGTAGCAGCATGGATACATGGAACTTAAAATGAGCAGGACTAGGCATGGTTTTTCTTTTCACCATTAGACATTTTTCCTAAGAACAAATGCCAACATTGGCAACATTTTAATCTTGTCACGTGTAATCATCAGGTTATAATTATTATTAAGGTTTTGTTAAAATTTGTTTTAAATTTGCAAAGTATAAAAACCTTCTAAAGTAATCCAATCTACTTTTTCCTACTGAATAATTTTAATGGGTATAAAAATATCATGATTAATTATATAATTATTTTTTGTAATTGCCAATGAATACTCTAAATTTAAAGGCTTTTCTATGTATTTGAAAATCATGATATCACATCTTAAACAGCAAAAAATAATTTAAAAGATCTATACAACTGCCATAAAGCTTTAAATTGTGTTTCAGAGGTGTGTAACTGTACACTGAAGTCACTGTTCAGTATACATTCAGATTTTAAAGAGTAAATAAAACCCTGAAGCTCTTTTTTTTTTGCAGATAAAATGCAATTGCAGATAAACTGTACATATTTCATTATCCCCTAATCCTGACCACACCTTTGCTCATTCCTGCTCCTGGTTTTGGCTTATGCAATTATTGATCGGAAGTGGTTCCAACCATTGACTCTCCTGGAATTGTTGAAATTTATTATTTTCATTTCCTGGTTTCTATGCCCTGTCCACCAACCAGAAATGGGAGATTCCCAAAGTCAGAGAAGGATCTGCAGGAGTTTTGTGCAACCATTGGTTTGTGAACCTGTTTCACATGACTAAAACTACTAACTGAATGACAGAACATTAAATTGCGTCAATCCTCTTGTCTACAAAAGTCAAACATAAGTGCTTTTACTTCTAGACAAGTGGAACTGAGGTACAGTAAACAACTCTTACACCCACAACACAACGTAGACAACTTTTACACCCATTCAAATTATTCAGTAAGAAAAAAGTAAACAACTTCCTGCTGCACATAATTTTCCTCCACCTCCAGCACCCAATGTCCTGAACCACAATTAGGTAAATAGAATAGTAAAGTTGTCTTATATGACATAACTACCTGTAGCATCACTCACTGGATATATGTAAATGTGTTTTAATGAGCTTTGCAAAAAGAAAGCTCCATGTTAAAGTGTAACTCTGTGAAAAGAAAATTCAAAAGATTTACATAAGTTCATAGCATTGATATATACTAGTTAAAATATTTATGCAATAACTTTATGTAATGTTTACATAAAGTTTGAAATTCAAAGAAATTAATTCATTGAGCAGCTCAGATTATTTCACCCAGATAGGGCTCTGGTTAGCAAAATCTTTTAATACATGTACATTTTAAAATGCCTATTTTTAAAAGAAAGTGGCAACCCCGAGATCTGAATTCTTGCCCCTACAACCGCCAAGGTAGCAGCACACCTGGCCTACCTTCCTAATGCTTCAGGAGTCCCATAAGCCAAACAGGTTGATAGACCTTCAGCTTGACAGCATCCTTGGGGTTCAGGGGTTGCTGCCGCAAGGGGCACCATAGAACTTACTGCCCCAGCTTTGGGTGTCTGCAAGGACAATAGAGGCAGAGAACATGGTCCACTCAGACTCAATGTCCCCAGCCTCTATCGGAATCTGAGTTGCCAGAGGTTAGAGCTGTATATACCCCATACCAAGGGCCTCACCAGATGTTTCCAGCAGATCCTCCCTTCTCGTGTGTGCCTGCTCAGTGTGACCAGGGTCCTCCGCTCCCAGTATATCCAGCTCAACAGCTGGTGGTGACCGGTGAACAGCTCCACCCCTCTGTTCACCTAAGTGCCCCAGATATGGCACTGGAGGTCAGAAAATAAGACTACAAAGTATCCTTTTTTCAAGTGCACCAATCAACATCCTTATGCTTGAACATGGTGTTCATTATGAACAGTACATGACTTGCACAGAATCCCAATAATAATACACCTCTTCAGTTCACAGCTCAGGGCAGTTTCTGCAGATCACACCCTTCCAGGTGTCACTGTCATTCCCTACATGAGCATTGAAGTCCCACAGCAGAATGAAAAAATCCTGGGATGGCGCTATCAAACACCCCCACAGAGATGCCAAGAAGGTCTGGTACTTAGTACTGCCATTTAGCTCATAGTCCTAAGCAATAGTCAGAGATGTTCTCCTTACCTAAAGGCCAATGGATGTGACCCCACTCATCTACTGGGATAAACTCCAATATGAGACGGCTTAGCTGGAAGGAGACGAGCAGACCCACCCCAGCCCTCCATTGTTCCTCGTGGGCCACTTGAGAGTATAGAGAGTCCAGGCTCTTTCGAGGAGCTGTTTCAGAGCCCAGACTATACATAGAGCCGAACCAGACTATTTCTATCCGGTATTGCTACACCTCCCACACAAGTTGGTGCGGAAGGTGAGGTTGTATGTCCCCAGAGAAAGTTAAGGGTCCGTTGATCTGGTTGCCACCACCCCCTTCTCTGACTGCTGCCCAATCCTCTTTGCAGTGGTTCCTCATGGTTCCCCCTCCACCTGGTGGGCCCTCTGGGCAATTGCCTCACATCACTCCTTTGGCCTTGGCCCTGCTGAGTGCTGCAAGAAGCGATGTGACCACACTAGAAGACACTAGCCAGCAAATCCCAGGGATGGCTCCAGGGTGAGGTCTCGGCTTTGCCGAAGTGGGAGACATGCCTCAATTGACCAATCACCTAGAGCCTGTTTGTCTTGATATACCCTACCAGGGGCATTTTAGCCCCAAGGATCATCTGGACACTGAAACCCATGCAGCACATTAAGATGGCGGTTTGTGGAGGCGTAGTTAATAATACAAACCGTTAACTATAATCAATAAATGCTTTAGGCATTTATCACAATTACTTAAAACATCTTTTGTTTATGGATTAACTTTGATCAGAATAATACATTGTTAATTTAAATTTCCAATTATTATTGTTAATAATAATTATTATTGAATAACTATAATTGCATAACACACATTTTGTATCTTCCTATTTAAATTTGTAAAAAAGTTGAAATATGAAGCAAAAATAAAAAAAGAAAATAGATGAATGTTAAAAACAGAAAAAATCTCTCAGGGAAGTGTGAACCTACATAAAACTGATATGAAATGTCTTTTAGAGTAACCGATAGCATAGGCAAAATTAACCACAACACTTAAGAGTAGACCCATTGGCAGTGGTCCAAGATATAATTTAGTGAGTAGAAAAACATATTGCCCTTTAAAAAGTGTTTACGAAGCTGTTATGAACACAAAAAAAAAAATCAACCCACGGTATCTCTTTGGTTTTTATATCTCTGTCTATATCTCAGTTTAGATTTTCTGCTCTATGTATTTTGAAGGAAGCCTCATAGAGGCTATTCACCCATGGCTTAATGCTAATTCAAAGTAAAAAAAATGGTCATAATTAGACATGTTATATTATTTTTCAGAACAATTTTAGGCCAATATACCACTTTTACTTTGGAAAACAAAAAAAGATAGCTTTTGTCAGAGGATTTTTTTTTCTTTTTTTCCCGCTTACAGATTTAGCTATTAGCTTTTAATAGCACTACAAATATCCACAAGCAAATCTAAGTCAGTGTTGACTCCAGGCTACTAATTTTCTTCTTTTTTTTTTTTTAATGACTGCTCATCTTTAATCACCCCTGTCACAGACGGAGTGACTCTCGAGGCAACACGAAGTGGATATGCTACATTATGCAGCTCCCACCCAGTTTGGGTGACCTCCCATCGCCCTCAATGGTGCAACATCTTCCTCTGCTAACATAGTTCTTTAGCAATTACTGCCTCAGAAGGTCAGAAGGTGACAGAATACACAGACTAGTCATAAATCTCAAAGACAGTAATGACAGCAGAAAAAGGGCACCCACACACAAACAAAATCTTCCACCTCATCCTACAGCACTGGCCCAGTAATAGCAGTTCATAAAAAAATACCAAGAAAATAAAACAATGAAGCTCAAACATGGCTAAGGGCCATCGACAGGCAGATTTGACTGTTTAGTTAAAGTGTCAAGGATTATGACCTCTGATCTGCTTAAAGCCCTGAGGTGATGTGCCTGATTGCGCAGTGTAAGAAAACATTTATAGCACTTCATTGTATCTCTGACCAAGATTACAGAACCAATTATGTCAAGCTGCTGATCGTCCTATCCTAACTGACACAGAGAACCTTCCCTCTGCTCCCTCTGCCCTCACAAAAGGCAGACATTTTTAGAATCAATGCTGCCATGCCAACAACTCATTATCTGTCCACTCTTCTTTATCTGTGTATGCATCTTACTTTTCTCTGGAAATTTCTTTCATTTCTGCTACTTCCCCTCCCCCACCACCACCACCAAATGTTGCTTCACCCAGCTCTATCAGCATCTTCAAACTCATCTATTTTTGTGGGTGCTCAAACCGACCACCTGCAAACCCTCTAATTAGGTAACATCTGTGTCTGAGCTGCACCATTTGAAACATGCATTCACCACTACAATGTAAAATGTGCATTTTTGCAAAGGAAGGCAAATTTACAATTAGCTTCTCAGTACTTTCCTCATTCTGTCTTTTAATTCTTGTGTTGAATGCTGCTTCGGTTCAAATTGAGAAAAGACAACCTTGCGCACACTCACACACAGGGCTGGAGAGCCATGGGCATGAATCTAAGGATCTAAAACCGGAACTAGTTTTTTTACAACCTAATTAACTAAATAACTTACTAATTCCAAGAGTAAAAATATCTTACTTAGTGTCAGTTTTGAACTGAACATTGCCGATGATTGTTTGTAGCGAGGCTGATAATGATTGCACTTTAAAATTGTACTCACAAATTCTAAAATCCACTTCCAGTGACCTCTGAAAATATTTTGCTATGTGTTTGTTTCTTTCCAGGACTGCGTAGTAGTTACTCTTGCAGTGTCTGCAGTGTGGTTCTTAACTCTATCGAACAGTACCATGCACATCTCCAGGGCTCCAAGCACCAGAACAAGTGAGTAGATCTGTAAATACAGGTGTATCTGCTCCAAGAGAAAAGCCTGATCAGCAGGAAAAAGTCTTCAGATAGAACAGTTTTATATGTAAAGGTGAGGTGAGTAATGGCATGTACAGACTGCTTTAAGTAGCCAATGTACTTAGCTGTCACTCTCTTTGCCACACTATTGGGTATTTGAGTATATACCACCCTCAATCATTATTATAAAAATTATACAAATGATTTTGTGTCTAATGAACCTTGAATTGCTTTAAATTTTGATTTAGATTTCTTCAATTATTCACTTTTTCATATGCACTGCCATTTATAAAGATGCACCTTAACTTAATGTCTTTTTTTTAAATGCCAGACAAACTATAAATGTCCTTCTCTTCATGCTGTTTTATCCGCTTTTATCATAATGTTGGGCAGTTTTATTTAAAACAAGGAAGCATGCGTCGATATTTCAATGACAAAGAGATCCACTGATTAAAGCATAGCTAACAAAAGACATAGAAAGTCACAGAAATCCATATAAAATCTATAACTCACATAATTTACATACACTGATATAAACACTTAAACGTTTATTGCAAATTGCTTTCCTTTTTATCTTAAAATGATATCCTTTTAGTCAATTGATATTCACTGTTTGAACTAAACAAATTTGTTTTTTAATTGCTTTACTTTTGCAGTCCATCACCAGTCCATCGCAGATTACTTTTGCACCTGCGATGGACTGGCGACCTGTCCAGGGTGTACCCCGCCTCTCACCCATTGTCTGCTTGAGATAGGCACCAGCACCCCTCGCGACCCCACTCGGGACAAGCGTGTAAGGAAATGGATTGATAGATGGACTTTTGCAGGGTTTTATATTGATAAACCTAGAAAAGTGTGGATTAATTCAAACATTTTTTTGAAATGGTCTTTAAACCTGCATTTAGAATTATTAACTGTCATTTAAAGGTGTTTGTTTATCTGAAAGGGTAGTATTTGACTTTAAGATTGGATGTGGAAATGGAAAGAGAAAAACAACTGTAAAAAAAACAAAACTACTGCAGTGAAGGAATGTTTAACTTGATGAGAGAGTGGCCTTGAAACTACCACTTTAAAGTGATTTCAGATAGCTACGGTATATATTTTTTTCTTCTGCCCTGTTTTATGATTTATTATTCCTCTCAGATGAAGCCTACTATTCTTTTTATTATTAAAAGAATACATAAATTGAAAAAATGAGTGATAAATCTCCTGAACTCAAGATCTAAATTGCAGAAATGATTTGCAACACATAAAGTAATTTATATCCGCCAACAGAAGATAAACTGGAACAGAACAACTATATTGCATGCATTTACCATGAGGTACCTCAGAGTGTGGTTGCAGGCTGTGTTTTGATGCATGGCTGAGAGCATTTCTATATACAAGGCAATAGAATTAACATCAAGAGTGTTTTGCTAGATACAAGAAAGCCTGAGGATGTTTTGGCTTTCTATTTATTTTTTTTCTTTTGTACTACAGTTGATGAATCAAAAGTATCTATTTTGATCGCTCAGCCTTCTGCTTGCATCTCTAGTGAAGGCGATAGAAAGATAAAACTACATCTGTCTAGTCTTAGAAACTGCTTGAATTTTAAGGAAAAAAAACACCATTAAACGATAGATGACATAAAAAGAATGCAAGAAATCTGCTTAATAAACAGAGCTTTTAAATTTAGGGTCAAATCAGAATTTTTGTTAATGGTGGCCACTAAAAAAGTTTGTATGCATACAGTTGAATACACCATCCACTATGGTAAATGATAAATGATCTGTACTTATGTAGTGCCATTTCAAGTCAGGAGACTTGACCAAAGCGCTTTACACCACATTCAGTCATTCACCCACTCACACACACATTCATACACTGATGATGCCCTGGGGCTCACTGACAGAACCAAGGCTGCCGTAAACTGGCGCCACCAGCCCCTCTGACCACCATCAGTCGACATTTCGGGTGAAGTGTCTTGCCCAAGGACACAACAACACTGAAAGCCGGAGCCAGGGCTTGAACCGTCAACCCTACATTCAACACCACTGTCACCGTATAAGTAAGTATAGTTGATAGTCTACACAAACACATCGAAAAAGCTTTGATGAAGATACAGTACTACTATCAAGAAATCATACTGTACATATTGTAGATTTAAACCTGTGATTGAGTGTAATGAACCATAAGCAGGCCCTAAAGCTTAAATCTGATACATAGTGGTATGGTTAAAAATGTAGCATGAATCTATTGTAAATCTCAATTGGTAGGACTCAGGAACCTTCTGGAGGAACAAGCTTGAAACATTTTCCTTGATTGGTTAGATGGATTTGATTCAGATGCAATGCTCCCACATGAGTGTTTCTGTCCTAGTAAGCTAAAGGGCATGTCCCTCTGTCTCTCTAGGGTTAGGTGTAGGTGTAGGGTTAGGTGTAGGTGTAGGGTTAGGGTTAGGGGATATTCACCATCCCTGCGCAGCATCCCTGCGCAGCAGCACTTGCGTTTTCCTTAGGGTAAACGTCGAAAAATTTTATGGACTAGCTTAGCATGAGAGAAACATTGGACAACATATTATCTGTTGGCTGGCATTCCTTAACTCCTCCAGAGTCAGCTGTTTATTTAGACACAAAGAAAGAACATGGCGGATGCGTGCGCGGGCATTGACGTCATCGCGCCACACAGTAAACATGTCTTTGCCTAAACAACAAAAATATGCTTAACACTGCCACTCAATGAAATGTTTACAACTCTCTCTACTGTATAGTAGTAAACAAGAACAAAAACACATCACTAATTTCGTATTGTACTCGGTTACAGTATAACCCATAATAAAAAAAAAAACATTTCACATATTGGCAGTTCTGAAAACCTTAAAAAAAAAAAGATGTATCCTTCACTTTGTAACAGTAATTTCACCTGCCAGCTTCCATTCCTCTTCGAACAAATAACCCATGAATTTCTCAAATTTTACCTTTGACACTGGTTTGGTAAGTACATCAGCTACCATGTCTGCAGTAGGACAGTAAACAACATTAATTTTCCCCTATGTGTGTGCAGACCGTACACAGTGATATTTTATATCCACATGCTTGACTCTCTGCCTGTATACTGTGTTCTTCAATAACGCTATTGCTCCCTGGTTGTCCTCATAGATTTTGCCTCGTAAATGCTGATTATTACCATTCATCCCTTTCAGTAGTTGAACAAGGTACATGCTCTCCTGAGTAGCGGCTGCTAGAGCCATGTACTCTGCTTCAGAGCTAGATAGCGCCACTGTTGGCTGCTTCCTGCTCTTCCATGAGATTACTGCACCTGTCTCAGTTAAGGTGAAACAATATCCAGTAATGCTTCTCATGTCATTTTTGTCAGCTGCCCAATCAGCGTCACTGTACCCCTCAAGCTGTAAGCTTTTCTCACATCTTTGGTAGTGTAATTCCTGATCCATAGTACCCTTTAAATACCTCAGTAAATTTTTCACAGCAATCCAGTGCTGTTGCTTTGGTTCTGCCAAGTGTTGTGGTAGTTTGCTAACTATCCAGCTCAAGTTGGGTCTTGTACATGTCATGTTGTATATCAAGCTACCCGCTATCTCTCTTTAACCTGTTGGATCAATTACATCACCATCACTGTCAAAATGTAACTTCTGCTCAGATGGTGTAGGTCTCGGTTTGCATTCAGATATCCCAAATCTAGCTAACATTTTCTCAATGTGTCTCTTTTGTGTAATTTTGATTTCTCCATCAATGCAGTTAAAATCAATACCTGCAGTAGGACATGTTTATGTACACCCATATCCTTTATTTAAACCTTTTCTTCAGCATTTCTTTCACATCTTTGAGTATGGTGTTCATCAACCCACACTAACAGTATAAGTTTCTCATTCCCAGATTCTCTGGTGTAGACACAGTGGTCAGCATCATTTTGCACAATACCATTCCCTGTAAGGTGATCATGCAGTGACATATTCCAGTTGCGACTGGACTGTTAACCCATACAATGATTTGTTGAGCTTACACACAAGATGTTCACCTGTTTTTTACCTGACCTCAAAACCTCCTGGTTGATCCATATATACCTCACAGTCCATGGGAGCATGCAAGTAAGCAGTCTTTGCATTCATTTGGGAAGGATAAGATCCTCCTGCACGGCTACCTGCATCAAAGTTCGGACAGAGGTCATATTAGCAGTAGTTAAAAAATTAGTCTTTGTAGTCAATCCCTTTCACCTGACCGTACCCCTTTGCCACATATCTGGCTTTACAAGTCTCAGATCCATCTGGGCCTTCTTTCATTGCATATATGGCAGTGGTGTGAGAGTTAAAGTTTCATTTTCAGTCAAGGACTGCATCTCTTCTTTCATCGCATCACCCCATTTCATCGCAATTTTGATTTTTCTGAATTCATTGCCTCACTTAATGTTTTACGTACAACATAGATCACTCTGTACAAAATAATCCACATTTTCTGTTTCATCATCACACCTGATTTGCACTGGTACTCTTTCATATATTCTGTGGGCTTTCTCTCCCTCACAGGATATTTCTGTTCTACCTGCTCTTTCTCTGTACCATCTGTCTGGGTTGGACCTGTCTCAGTAGTCTCTACACTAGGCTCTTTAGGTTCCTCAGTCTCCTCAGATTGTCTCTGACCCTGGTTCAATACCTTTGGTGTTGCATCTCCATAGCTCTCTGCATTATTCTCCATGTCATAATTGGTCTGTATCTGGCTATTTGCACTGCCCTTAGCAATCTTTTTCACTTGGCTATGTCTTAGGACTTTTCCTGTCTCCGGATAGTAGATGTTGTAAGCTGGGCTATACTTATTATAGCTGACAAAGATCCCTTTGTCACACCTAGCATCTAGCTTTTTTTGTTCTCCTTATACACATAACATTCAGATTCAAATACCTTCATGTTTGACAGATTGGGTGTTTTCCCTGTAAAAACATAGTAAAGTGTCTGCTCTAGATGCTTACTGTAACACCTGTTACGAATC